TAGTAAGTTTTATTGATTATTTTCTTTTAGAGGGGGTGGGGGGGGGGGGGGTGTAAATTATATAGTATAATAAAAATATTTTTTAGAAATAAAGATTCTTTTATTATAAAAAGTTAAGATATTAGATTATTTATACTTGTATAATCATGTTAGAAATTTTATTTTCTATGAGTTTTCTTAATCATGTTGTAATTATTTCAAACTGATGGTTTTTTTTATATATAATTTTGTGTTATTATTATTATACTATATTGTAAATTAAAATTTTAAAGATTCATAGGGCTTACGCCTCGTCCTATACTAAGTAAAACGCCTCGCCTTTTAAAACACTGTTGTCGGGTGTCCAATTGGAATACATACAAGTAAAATGATACACAAAGTGATCAAATAACATATTTTCAACACACTCGACAGAACAAGTTATTATAGCCTAGCAATTTCAAATTGTCTTGAATGAGCCAATGATCACGTTTTTGAAACTCACAGGCAGCTTTTATGTAAGGATCTTGATGCCTTAATTTTTGCAACTAACGATGATGATCGAACACATGATGCATGAATCTAAGCTAAGAACATATGATGCATGTCCAATAAAACTATCCTATCTTAGCAAATGTGTTAGAGCTTTATAAACTAAGATTACTTATAATGCTCATACACTTTCGAATATATTGTTAACGAGCACTTTGCTAGCATACATCAATAAGCTTTTATCTTCTTCTTTTTTAAAAATCAAATTCACCCATTTTTATTGGACATGATGCATATATTAGTTATATCATCTAGCAAATTACATCACATGATGCATATAATAATTTTCGTACTAATATATGACTAATTGTTTGGATCAAGATAACCTTCATATATTACATGTCAACAATTAGTAAAATAGATGATCTATAGTAAATTTATACCCGCTAGACAAAGTGTCTAATGGTCTTTTATTAGCTATTATATTATATGCTGAATTTTATTGATTTTTTTTTTGTATATTTTCCTTTTTGTAAATCTGGTCTTCATCACAGTAGTTAGACATTCATCATATTATTATAGTAAACAATGATCTTGTACTAAGAATTGGAAATCAATGAAAATTCATACATTTTCTTGTTCCTTTACTTCTCTTTCATTTTTGCTGAAATATATAGGAAAGTTTGTGTAATAATTTATAATATCTAGTTGAGCACAAAATGGTTCCATGGTGTAGTGGTCAGGACATTGGACTCTGAATCCAGTAACCCGAGTTCAGATCTCGGTGGAATTTTACTACATATTTTAGTGAATTGGGGATTTTACAGAAGTGTTCAAAGCTTTTTTACTTGTATTTTGATAATTATTGAAGCCAAAACAACTCAAATTTTGTATTGAATTACTTCAAAATTATCTACAGATAAGGATGGTAATGGGGCGGGGCGGGGCGGGTTGAGCTTAACCCGCAAAAATTTTAATCCGCCCCGCCCCGCATAATTTTTTTAATATTTTCTTTTTCTAGTTATGTACTAGATACAAACTTTTTTCCTTCTGTCATAAGTTGTTGTCCCTTTAATTTGGTATTTAACTCTTTTTATTCTAATCTTTTTACTGTACTTCTCAAAACATATTTTGAAGAATCTACACAAAAAATTTGGATATATATATTTATATATATAATTCTTGTCCATTGTTAGTGGATATTAGTTAATCTCTATCCTATATATAATAGAAATTAACTAGTATTCACAGGCTGTGGACAATAAAATTACACAATTAGTTTATTTTTAGAAATACTATAAAGTATTTTCACATATTATTAATATTTTAAAAAAAAAACAAAAAAGATTATTATAAGGTAAGTATGACTCTAAATTAATTATATGAAATTTGGTTAGAATTCTTATTAATTGGCTTACTACGACTTCTTTTACTGCTTATCTTCATTGTCATTATTTGTCACCCTCGTCTTCAACACCATTAAAGTAGCATATATGCACCACTGAAGCAACTTAATACAATTTCCAACACAAAATAATTTTGATTTTTCATTATCATTGATTATAAGAATTTGACTATCGAAATTTAGCCGCTTTTATTTCTCAAGTTGCTTCATTCATTCATAATTGGCCCAATTCATGACAAAGTTAAATACCTATTTTAGACTGCTCTGACAAATTTTTTTTGTGATTTTAACATCCAACTCAATTCATATAATTAACTTGCACATGAGAAAGTCATGTGTCATTGCTTGACTTGAACTACTTGAAAGTGCTCCTCATACATATCAACTTTCGTTTTTTTTTTAAATGAAAAAATTATTAGTTCTTCTAATGAGACCAATGTTGTCATTTTACTCGTGTAGCATAATTTTCAAATAGCTAGTTGCTTCAATTACTTTAATAACGTACGTTTGTTACTTTAATGGCGTTGAAGAAGAGCATGACGAATAATGATGATAAAGATAAGCTGTAAAAGAAATTCTTATTTTTAGTAAGTCAAGTAAAAATATGGTGATTGTCTCAGATTGCTTCAATGGTGTATGTTTGTTGATTCAATGATATTGAAGAAAAGCTTGATGAAAAATGATGAAGAAGACAAGCCGCAAAAGAAGCCCTTATTTTTGGAGTCCAACTTAACTTGCAATTTTTTTTTACTTTTTATTTAAATATTAATAATATATAAAAATACTTTATAATATTTCTAAATATAATTAATTTAGAGTCCAACTAACCTTATAAAAATATTTTTATTTAATTATAAATAATACATAAAAATACTTTATAATATTTCTAAATATAACTTTGTTGTTAAAAAAAAAACTGTCAACCCCCTGTTCTCTGATTTTGTAGTCGCAAATCTTGTTGTATTTTCAATTTAGGATGGGAGAGAGCAAAGTTTTGAAGTCGGCAGAGAGTCCCCGCCATGAGCTTAACGCACAAGCAATTTCAGATGCAATTGCAGAAGCAGAAGCTGCAATCGCAGCGGCAGAAGCTATTATTGCTGAGGCAAAAAGGGCTATTACAATGGCAGAGGAGGCACTACGCTTCGCTGAAACTGAAACAGTATTGAATCCTCCAACTTGCAGGTAATCCTTTTCTTTTCATTAACCAAACAATAATCCATTCTGCTCAGGGGTGGCAGAGTGGGTAATTAATATGGATATCCGCTCATATTTATCCATTTTAAATGGGTTAGGTATCCAATTCATTTAAAAATAGGTAAAAGGTAGTTAAATGGATAAAATAAGTAAAAGATATGCATTCACATAAATAAAAAAAAGTGATAAAGGATGGGGTAGTAAGAATTTTATTTTTTTTTTAAAAACAAAATCTGAAACTTTTTTTTACATTATTTTTGGGATAGGGGTGGGGGAGTGGGTTGGTAATTTTTTTTTAAAAAAAAATTATTGAAAAATTTTAAAATTTTGGCAATTTTTTTTTGAATGGGGTGTGGAGGGGGGGGGTAGGGGGTAGAGGGTGTGGGGGGTAGGTAGGGGGTGGGGTGGTAATTTTTTTTTTTTTTAAAATTAAAATTTTAATGAATTTTTTTTAAATTTTGTTAATTTTTTTTGGGATGGGGTGTGGACGGGGTAGGGGTACGGGGTGTGGGGGGGCTGGTAGGGGGTAGGGTGGTAATTTTTTTTTAAAAAAATTTAATGAAATTTTTTTAAATTTTGTTAATTTTTTTTGGGATGGAATGGGGTGGGGTGGGGGGGGGGCTGGTAGGGGGTGGAGTAAAGTGATAATTTTGTTTTTTTGTTTTTAAAGCTTTTAACAAGATTTCTATTATAATATGGATAAATATGATTACCCATATTATCCATGGGATAACTCGTTTTTACCCACTTAAAATGTGAGTAAAGTCGAGTAACTTATCCATTTTTATTTAACTCGTTTTTTGATCGACTCATATTCGATTCTACTCGCTCGTTTGACACTTTAATTCTGCTTCATTGCTTTCTTTCTCTGAAGAAACAACCCTTGTATATTCAAATATCTCTTTGTTGAAAAGAAAAAAATTATCCTATAGCCTAAAAAAAGGCTTTTTGGTGCAGGAAGTATTCTAGTTCACGCGGTGTCAGGGTCCAAGCTCCATATCCCAAGAGAACGTGATGCACTCTGGTGCAAGTATTAGTGTTCAATTTCACGGTTTGAATTTTTGACCTACAGGTCATAAAAAGATAACTCTATTGTTAGCTCCGAGGGCTTCTCTTCATTTACATATAGTATTATTATTTTTTTGCTATATTATAAGTTTTATTAGAGTATATCAGAGTACTAACTAAAATATAGCTAATTGTTTAGTTGATATAACATTTTCACTTCTCATTGCCTCTATATATGGTATTATTTGGATTGCACAGTTAGGGTCTTCATCTTCCAGCTTAAATGCCAATTTACTGTAGATGTATGAATAGATGAAAATGTGGAGAGAATGTATCATTGAGGTTACAACAAAGTTAATAGGCTTGGTGCTTTTATTTTGTTGAGGTTCACTTGCATATACCCTCCTTTTGTAGTCTGGTTTTGGTTGTATATATACACCAACAGAAGTAGCCCTCGTATGTTGTTATTATGATTAAAAACATTTGAATTTAAATATATATTTACCAAATATTATCAACTTTTAAACCAAACCAAAATAAAATTAATTTATTTAATTGGTTTGGTTTAGTTTTCATTTGAATCGATTTTTACCTAAACCTTGAACCTACTCGTAGATTACTAAAATATGACTTCATCAAACACACTTTGGAAAACACATTAATGTCTTCAACTCTGAGACGCCAGGTTGGTCTTTACAGTTTACACAAACACAAACACAAACACAAACAGATGAATCTGATTTTGAGGATAACAGCATTCACGCCCACTATTTCCAACATGCTCAAGGCACATTTTCGTTGAAAATTTTCTTTGTTGGATCACAATCCATTTTCAGTTTTAGTAGTAACTGGAATTTGCAATACTACCACAAGACGATGCACAGTTAACTACACATTCTATAACCTTGGGACAGGTTATCACCATGTACCTAAGTTTGTTACATGCATGAAACTGAGCTAGACGATGATCAGGAATTCATAAGACTATTCTATTAATCCTGAAACACAACGTTTCAGACTGAGTTGGTGCAGGATTGATTACTGATAGAGCTTCTTCTTGTTCAATACCCAAAATGCTCTCAGATTTCCGTCAATCATGCTATGTGCTCCCCTCCTGCTTGAAGCTCTGCTGCATTCATGGAAACAATATATCATACACAAATAGGAATGTTTATCGAAAGCTTGACAAAAGGAGTACTCCTGTGACAATGTCAGAGAAATGCCTTCATAATTTAACATCTTTAAACTTCATATAATCTTTCGCAGTTAACAATATCAACAAGCCTCTTAACACTCTATCATGTATTAACAATTAATCTCTTTGTTTTTCCCAATTCCTATCCAGCAAAAGGGAAGGTGACATTGCACGATGATAAAACCAATATGGGATAATCAACGTCTTCTACAACCATTTTCTTTTTTCTTATAGGTATGACAGACCGCCTGCTGTTTCATCTGAGAAACCTTTAACCTTTGTTCCTGTAATCCTGATTACCCTTTTACATATGGGGAAGATAGATCTATAACAGAACAGAACTTCAGAATACTTATAGAGCTTCAAGACAAGAAGTACTCTTTCACCTTCCAGTCACCTATCCTACACCACTACATTCTCCTTCAAGGCATGATAAACGTGCTTCAGACTGTCACTTGAAAAAAGCACTTGGCAGTCCAGATTTCCATTTTGTACTTTCTAAGGGAAACATTCTTGCTCTATTTGCAGGATCGCACCATTGGATAGGTTAAATATTCGGTTGGTAGATCAGAACTTTTATTTTTAATACTTGCAAAAGATTCTCCCCAAGTTGCACAGAATTCTTGCCTATAATAGTCATCCTCTCTAATATTGCTACTTGATAGTTGAGAACTCTAAATATGAAAAGTAACTATATTCCAAAGCCTAATAGATATTAGAAGCCCTCTTTTATTTGTTATCTAATATTCCCTACAATTTTGGAACAGAGCCTACAGCCTTTACTTGAATAGCTTCAATATAAACATGTCTTTGAAAGTGCTACGGAACTCTACAAACACTTCAGTACCTGAGGCTTTAGATGATATGTAGACAAGATTAAGTCGTAGATATTACTTGCTCAATATAAAACAGAAAGAATTATTAAAAATTAAAAGCGAATAGCAGAAACTGATCTCAGCGAAGACTACTACAAAAATATCTTTACTTCGTCCTGCCAAAAACCATTTCTGCACTTTCCCGTGAAACCATTAACCATCCAAGTCAAACCATCAGGATTTTAGCATTCCAATTTCTAGATCTTTAGATTGCTTAATGAAAAGAACCAGTACTGACATAACATAGAAGGTACACACTAAGTAGTTTCCAGGAAAACATACAACTCTCATGTTGTCTCCATGCAGAATCCTCAGCTAAGCATAATAGTAGTAAATGTTTGCATTTATCAAAAGTTACTTCCAATCAAATAAAGCTGAATCTTTCATGGACAATATTAATGATGATCAAGTTAAAAATGTCCATGCCTTCAGTAGAACCAACTCAGAGATAACTGAAATTCATTGTCTACTTACTATCAGCAACACAAACTGCTCAGAATTGACCAATGACTAGCATATTGCAAGCCGAGAAAGCTACTGTTTCATTACCTGTGTTGCATAGGTTGAGCTTTGTGCAAGAAACTTCAAATACTCTTGCTTCTTTATATCAAAATTGAACCTTGAACGTTCTAGCAAAGCCTGTTCCCTCTGCATATCTTCTACAGTTCTTTCTTTTTTCCACCTCATCTCCTTTATCTGTCTTTCAATTTCGAAGTAGTTTTGCGGCAGATTTGACCTTCCAGAGCTCTTTGGGAATTTCACATTTATTTCCCTTTACACAAGAATACAAAGGAAAAAAAAAGACAACACCAACTTAAATTCAGAATATAAAATTTTACGACAACTTAGTTATGCTATATCAATATAAACCTAGGAGGAGACATTCTGCCTAAGAGAGCGCAAGAGAAGATAATTGGCTGAAATGTATGTGACTATTACCTTGGGTCCAATCCCTGAAAATTGCATGAACTACTCTCTCAAATTCAGATATTTTATGATAGGGTTATCTTTCTTGATTATATTATATGATTTAGTGTGGTCTCTTGTTGATCTTTGGATGAAGAAATTCACTGATAAATAGTATGTCAACCATAATTGAAATGAAGTACAATAAAAACATATTGATAAAAACGGTTTGGAGCATCCTTGCTGAGTATGCATAAATGACAGAAGGCCGAAGGCTGTACAATAAAGTACAATAAACACAGTGTTGGAGACCATCAGAGACAGATTTTAGCAAGTTCATGAAGGCTGTACTACTGAACTCACAAACTTAAAGCTCCATCACAAAAGTATAAACAATAAACATATCCGCTTCAGAACTAATGCACAAAGTTAAGACAAGGTATTATAATGGTATATCACTCAGAAAGAATCAAGTTATTTGGAGATCAATAAATTTAGGGTATCACCACCCATACGACCTGAAAAAGTACGCACCTCCATGTCATCCATGATTGAGTTCTAAACAGATGAAAATAGAAAAGAATTGTTTCTGCAGTTCCCGAAATACAGAGAAATAACTTTTTAAGACAAGCTTCTTTACCTCTTGCCCAGGGAGAACACACCGTTATGCTTTATCATCCCACCATCCAGGGATATGGCTCCATGTCTAATACAAGGGAGAGCCTGTAGCATATCTTCTCTTGTCTTGTATACGTGCAAGCGGGAAAACAGGTTATAGAAAAGAGTCTCTCTTAGACCATGACCGGAGCTTGTAGCACAATATAAGTTCACACTGTCTATGTTGACCATATTCACAGCAAAACCAAGAAAACCAGGTGGAGAGTCCCCATTGGGTAATCTTGGCTTCAGAATATCAAGCCTCCTTTGAGGGTCATCAGCTATGAAATCATCAGCATATGGTCTAAAATGAACCGAAAGAAGGAAAGGGGTCATATGTATGTAAAAGAGATGCATCAGTTTTTACAAGAAACATATTTTTGACCTCAAACCTTAATTTTTCAAGACAGATAACAAGAAAGCGGCCATCCAAAGGCTTTCCAATAGAAGCTCCAAGTCCATGAAGACCCAAAGTTTTGTTTATGTGACCTTCCTTGTCGTATGTCTCCAGCGCTTTAATACCATCACACGTCTTGCAAACAATTGCTAGCATAGTCTCAAGTCCCAAATAATCTGAGAGGAGCCTGGATTTAAGAGATCAAATATACATGTCAACCATCAACAGAAAAAACTGTCATTATTTCCCCTACTTGAAACAGCATGCTTCCCAAGTTCCCATATCATCATAACTAATTTAAACAGAAAGAGATTCATGTTTTTCTGAATGTTCTTTGAGACTACAGAGATGTGTAACAAAAACATGGAGGCAGGTAAGAGAAAATGTGAGGAACAAATATTACTCAACATCAAATCCCACGAACACAGGACATTTTGTGCTTGGGGTTTAAGGCAAGTTGAGACTTTCTAAACTCTTTTAAAGTGTTTGTGTTGGTAAATGCTGATGTGAAGGGGTAAAGGCGTTGGGAGTTCCGTACAAGTGAGATGACGAGTACTTATGCATGTACTGGTGCCATGATAAGGGTAGAAGTCGAATGCTGACTATGTTGGAGCATGATATATGAGCTTTTTGGTTGTTAAATGACCACTCAATTGGCATGACATTCATGATTCATGATTATCCATAAACTTAGAGCGTTGATTTGATGAAAAGGCATTTATATATGTTCATGACATATATTTTTCGTATCTGGGGAATTTACTCATGCTTTCGTATGAGTTCACATACATAGTACATTGATGAATCATATGGTTCTTTTCCAATAGCCTATGTACAGGATCCAAAGGTATTGAGATACAGTTTCCTTTCATTTGGTTTTTCTCCGATAGCCTACAGGCAAGATCTGAAGGTAGTACATGGACCTCGCGAGTCCCCAATGGAGCACAACCAGCCTAAAGCAGGTGGCGTGTGTGTATTGGTGCATTAGCCAGCATATCACATCCATTGCATAATATCAATTTGTATGCTTTATGTGACTTCTTACCTGTTGAACTGATCTTACTTGTGATAGTAGACTATTGGTAGACTCTGAGTTCAGCTGATTATTTCCTCTATCCTAATATTCTATTGATTTCTGATTAATATATTGGACTCTGATTTTCTGTTGAGTGAGCGTGGAGGCTGGTATGGTAAGATCAACTCTCGTCATTGCTTTACATAGGGTCGATTATAAATAATAATAATTCTTAATGAGAAATTTGTTTATCAATTACAGTTCTCACTCGAAAAGATATATGTATATTTTTTACATACATTATGTAACGACCCGCATGGTCATTTTGTGCTTTTGAACTCCTTTTCCCAATTTGGCCTTCCTTGTAACCTTATTATGCTATTTGACTTGCGGGAATGGATGGTGTGGTTCTTGAGGTGATCGGGTGGTGTTACAGAGAGAAAATTAGAAGCTTTGTACTCATGTCACCAAATTGTGGGGGTTGTAGCTCGTACATTTTGCACTCTTTCATTCTATCGCTTTCTTAATGGATAGATTCTATTTGTTGCTTTTACTCCCTCTTTTCGATAAATGAAATGGACTTGGAATGATGAATGCTTCACATATGGCGTTCGGGCAGGTGCCATCATGGCTTAGGATTTCAGGCCATGACATTAATCCTTAACACTTCCCATGAGATGCAAACTTCAATATCCACGATAAGAAGCTAACATTAACACCACAATATATTTACTTATTGCTGAAGTGAAAACCTATATACAAACAACCCCATTTTTGCACACAATTGTTTTAAGCACATCTCTAATCAATAAGAATATCATTACGTAACTAAATCTTTACTTCTTAATCTTAAGCTGGCCACATGTCATCTTTCTAATTGAGACAGAAACAAAAGATTCTATAATTTCAACTTTCAAGGACATGGCTGAAGAAAACTGGGAAGAACTGTAATGTAGCTAAGCAAAAATTGTAATGCAGATTTATTATGGCTAAAAAGGCAATAAAATACAGAAATTGGCATAAAATTAACCTGCTAAGATTATCGTCATCAACGTTCCCAAGCATAGCAACAATTCCCACAACATCCTTCATCAAAGGAAGATGAGAAGCTTGAGTTCCATGATGACGTTTTAGCTCGTACCAGATGCCAGCTGCAGATTTCTCATGTACAAAGATGTGTCCAAGTGTCTCCTCCTCACTCTGTACATGGGAAAGTTCCTCATTTTCAGAACCAGATTCGCTTGCTGTCTGATACTTGCAAAGAGCAACTACAGTACCCACAAACACAAAATGTGAAAAAGAGATCTTGATATTGTAGTTCTCTCATGTGAATACTTAACTTCATAATACAAAGAGTAAATTCATCGATTAAAGGAAACCCACCGATGCAACAAAAATAGCTACTAGAATGACCCTATTAGATTTACACATGCACCACTTCACACTACTCACTGAACTTAGCGAAAAGGAAGGTACCGTGCATATCTAAGATTGAATTATCCAATCTGTTCTTCTGAGCTTTTAGGAAACTGATATTCTCTTCATGATGTTTAAGTTTCAGACCCATCTCATGCACAGCATCCTCAAGTTTCTGCAGTATACAGCTGGTACTTTTGACTGATTGATTTTGCAAAATATTAAAAATGTGGTAAATCTCAAGTAACAGTTGTGAATGGATAATCCATTAATCACAAGAAAACACTAATTTACAGATTACATTTCCAGCAAGATGAAATGATACAACTGGTGCAAACTTCTTGCATAATGTTAACAACCTTGGAATTGTAGACAGCTGCCTCGGCAGTTCCATTTTGCATTGTGTCCCTTGCAAAAGAATAGGGATCAGACTGACCACCTTGATTGAACCTCAACGGATCATGCACAACTACTGGATTAGCATTAATTGGCAACTGAAACAAAATAATAACAAAAAACTGTGATCAAATTTTCTCATCAAGGAAAATCTGCCAAAGACATCTAATCAGTAGCTTGCAGAGTTTCCTATCACACCAAGTGTTGAAGTAACTATTAAGTGTAAATCGTAGCAAACCTTCATACATATTTTATTCTTTTTCCATTTAGAATTGAAGTCCACTGGAGTTACCTTCTAGATAAAGGTCGATATGCAGATTAGCATATATGCTATAGAAAAAGGAGAATCTAATCCGAGGCTGTAGATATAAAAATTCCACATTTTTAGGAATTCAGACCACTTGACCAGACGTTAGGCAACTGAAAAGAAACTCATTTTAGTTTGCAGACTAGTTTATATATTTGATGTCAAGCATACATTAGTTAAAGTCTTGAAAGATAGGTCCTGTTGTAGATATGAAATTTTAACAGAGTTAGGGCCTAAGGGGGTCTAAAAGACGCATCATTATAGAATATGGCTACTCATCATTGCGGTTGCAACTGTTCCAAACAGTGCAGAAAAAATAAAAGAAGAAGAAAGTAGTGTCAGGACCCTGAGGTTTTACAGAATAATCTGGCAAGCGACTTTACAGTCAACTTCATTCTGACAGACCAACATTCGACCAGCAAGTCCTGCCTTATACCATCCACAGCAGCAATTCAACTAAAGACAACCCCTTCCCCCCACCCCCAAAATAATAATAATAATAATAATTTGTCTAGACCAAGTCCAACCAGTATAATTGAAAAATTAAAAGAATAAGAAGGAAATAGTCGAGGTAGGGACAAAAAGTAATCTGAAAGATCCAATTAAAGAGCCCTCGAGTATAAATTGACCATAACTTTTAGTGCAAAACCTTCGAATTCCAAGCCAATCTTATGCTGGCACTATCCAGAAAACATAAATAGCTTAATAGGATATATATGACAACCTTCACATCCTCAGATCCCATGACTAGAAGAATCAGGAAAGTCCAACTGTCCCCCAAATGCATTTAGCTTTATATCTGAGCCAGTTTTTCTTCCTTATCACAGATATCTTGCTCTCTTCCTACGTAATGCATACAGGTGATGCCACCTAGCTTGGAATTGAATGTAGTTGTTATTTTTTACACTAATGGTACTTTCACGCCTACTTTCTGAATAATAAATTTTGTTTCAATTTTCTCAAAAATTAAAGTCTGAATTTACTATGGAATTTAGATTTGTTGAGCAGCTTCCTCCACCATTCTTTCTAAGAAGAAGGAGATAGCTAGCATCTTCATCAAAAATGTAGTTGTGGAAATAATCAAACACAGAACTATGCGATTAGCCAAAATCAACAATTGCTATTAAAAAACTGGAAAAAAACATATCTTGAGCCATAAATCTTCTTAATTATACTACATTTATGTAATGCCTTAAGAAAGGCACTAAAGACACTCAAATTCAAAGGAGAAATATCTCAGATTACATGCATGACATCATTTCCTGTGTCTATTGGTATAATTAAGTGTTTCTCGTAGTTTTTAAGCTGGAGCGTGAGTTTCTATAACAGAAATAGTAGTTAAAAAGACATTTCACTCAACGAGCAGGAGATGAACAGTAGCAAAATGAAAAAGAGAAGCAATAGAACCTTCACTCTGTCGTCGTTCATCGGCATTCGCCCCGTCGTTGTTCGCTGTTGGTCGCCGGCGGTGGACAGGTGTCGATAGATTCTATGCAGAGGAAACAGGCAATCGCGCGTTGCCTGACAGCAAAATGAATTATAGGGCTTTGCTGAATAAATGTCCACATATATGTGTACTTAAACAATGAATAAGAATAGATATTATATTAATTTATAATTGTCCACTATTAATTTGGCACACACCTTAATAAACATAAATAATAACTAATAGGAGTAATATTTCTATATTATCTTTTGAAAATATTAAAGGTATGTTTGGAAAGCCACTTAGACCCTAGTAATTGGAATGATGTAGGTAATAATTATCAACCTAAGAATTACACTGACCTATTTGTTTGTCGTAGTATAGTTACAAATGTATTGTTTGGTTGAACAATTGTAATCATAAGATTATATTAAATTTTAAAAATTAAAGTTAATAATTTAAATTTTATATTAGAAAAATAAGGAACTTTATAAATGATACTAAATTAAATATGTAAAATACGCATTATCATTTGAAAATATACTAATCAATAAACATATGTTCTTACCTAATATTATAAAGAAAATAATTGATTTATATTCTTTAAATTAATATATTTCAATTGACTTAATCAAAAAAACTAAAAGTACAAGATTTGTGTGAACACCATAAAATGCATATTTGACAAAAAAAAAAATTATACATAAAATATCATTTAGCATTTCATGATCTATCATTTTATTACAAACATGCATTTCACAATAAGGATATGGCGTGATATATTACGAACATGCATTTCATGTCATATCATTTTATGCTGCATTTTTTTTTCCAAAAAAACAAATTCACAATAAGGATTTGAACCCACGATTGTTATTAGAATTAGAAATCACCCTAGTGGTTACTACATGATGTTTATGTGTTTTACTATATTATATAATGGGCAATGTTAACATGTTACTAGACCCAAATTTAGTCAAGTATGGTAATTCAAAGATCTTTGATGACAGTCTCAATCGTTGAACAAGAGTTTTTGACTCTTCATGCACCACTATTTCATTTCCTGTTTATATACATGGGTAACATGATGTCCGATATCAGATCATGGGTACCGGTTACCTGTTGGGGAGTGACAGTTTGCAGAGGTTGAGCATTCATAGGAGCGCGAAGGCCATAAAGGAGTGCATTTACTGCTTCTTGAGTATCAGATGATATTGAATTCGAAGTTGTAGAATCCTATATGGTTTGAAACAAGTATAATATAAATTAGATGAATGAACAAACAATTACAAAATGCGATAAATTATTGTAATATTTACCGATTTATCATTCGATCCTACAACTGCATCTGATTTAATGACATTATGTTGTACTTCATCCAAATTTTCTTGTTGAGATATTTTGGAGCCTCCAATTGCTTCATATTCCTAAAAAGGGATGAGGTACAACAATACATTGATAAATTAATGTATCACATATATAAATTTGAACTTACATTATCATTCTTAGATACACTTGCTTTATCATGAACATTTGTCGTGTGTGGAAGATCTGATACATCATTCATGCCTTCTTTATCCTTGCATGTATCAACATCCTATGTTTGTAATATGAAATTATCAGTAATTAATTAATGTATCAATGATTTTAGACTGAATATTGTATCAATATAAACTGCATATTTTAAAAAATTGATATTAGACTAATACAATTTATCAAAAAAAAAAGATATTAGACTGATACATTAAAATAAACTGAATAAAATGTAATATTGAATATATCAATGTATCAAACAAGTGTGTGTGTGTGTGTGTGGGGGGGGGGGGGGGGGGTTGTAAAAAAATACGTATCATATACTTACTTCTACATGATTCTGTTCGGGAATATGATTTTGTTCTTGAGCCTCCACAACATCTACCTCAATTGGATCATTGTTGGGAAAGTCCATCGCAATCGATGAACTTCGTTGTTCAAACATCTGGTCAGTGCTAGGTGGGTGGGAAAGATGGTCTTCTTGAAAACCTGACACGGTAGTTGGAATAGATGTGCCAGCAATATTCTTCATGAAGAAAAAAAGATTCATATCAAACAAAGAAATTTGTTTTAACGGTAAGTATTTGATAAATAAACTACTACCTCTTCTTCTTGCTTATCTGGATTCCGAACAACATTCAGCAACTCGATGTGGTTTAATTTGATTAAATCCTTTAAATGCTGAAATTTTTTGTCAACCTGAAAATATATAAAAATAAGTTAATATGTAATTATTGTACAAATATACATATTAAAAACTAATTATTACAATCACTTACGTATTTCTTCAGGTATTTCTTAACTTGTTTAATACCTGATTTATCAGAAGATTCTTTACGATCAAATGAAGGACCATGAATATCAAATAAATTACCACCTGAATCTGGAATTGGAATTTTTTGTTTTGTTTGCACAACTAATTGTTCTGGTTGGTTAACTTGAGTAACCTTTGGTTTGGCTGGATGAGCATTCCTTCTCCTCTTTGGAGGGGGTGTAGATGATGTAGTAGACATGCGTCTTGATCTCCTTAAAAATTGATCCGTATGATTAGTAGAAAAGTTCTCAAATTCGAGAAGGTCTTGTGGTTGAACCTGCTTGGACTTGGCAGCTGAAGTATGAGGTTCAGAAGGAGAAGTATTAACATTAGCAGGCAAATCAAGTGTTGACATTTCCTCCGTTGTTGGATGTATATCATTGCAAGCATTCTGGATTGCATATGTAAATTAACATAATAAACAGGATTATGTATCACTAATCACAAAAATGATACAATAATATGAAGTGAAAATTGTTCACTGTACACTGTCAAAACAAACATTACTTGAGTGAAAATGCTAGACATTAAAATGTCAAATTTGATCAAAACAAACATTACCTGAGTGAAAATGCTAGACATAAACATGTCAAATTTTGGCTTGACCCCCACAACTCGCCAGTTGCATATCCTCGGTATATAACTTCCCTCTTTGACAGCAATTTCATCACTGATTATAGAGGCACATTCATATATCCAAACATTAAGAGAATATGGCATCCCGGCTAATCGATACAACTTCTTTTCTTTGGTGAACTTTTGTCTCAATGTTTTCATCAATTTTGAGAATGCAATTTGTCCCCATGGATATTTTTGATACCTTCCGTCTTCAACCATAAAGAAATGGTGGATAGGTATATTTGTATCACCGAGTTGGGAAAAAACAAACGTGTGAATGAAATATAGGATTGCCATTTCAACGGCATCCTGATTGTTCTCCCATTCACCCATCAAAAATCTTTGAACTAAACGACCCTTGTTTACACTATCTTTTGACTCAGGGAAGTATCTTTGAATCAACCTGCTATGAGTGGAATTAGGATATCTAAATTCATCAACATTCCCTGTGCATTTCAGGCCAGTAATAATTGCAAATTCTTTGATAGTGAAATGCAAAATATTCCCGCTTGCATGACGAATATGAAGCTCATCTATGTCATCCTGCTCCAGCTCAAGTAGTAGCAGACACTTTGCTATTTGCCCTTGGTAATTGCAGTTAGGGATGTTGAGATATGGACCAAAAATTGTATTCTTAAATAATTCAACACCCTTAACCCCTATGGACAAATTCAAATCTTCTACAAAATTCATGTTGTAGGTCGAACCAAACCTCAAAGAGTGGATAGGAATTTGTTTTATCTTGTATTTCACAGACTATAATGAGACAAATGAACAACAGTTAAACACATAAAATAATATAAACATGATATATGTTGAATAATGGACAATTGAATTTACAATGACTTATATTTGTATCTGATACATAATATTAATATTTGTATATGAAACCCACTAGACCTTAATAAATGTGTAAATCATATATTTGAATTTGGAAATTCATTATAAATTGATATTTGACAACTTCAATGATGTTATTTTTGTATCATGTAGATGATAAGTTGGGTTTGGTACTTAAATAAGCAGATTACAACATAATATATGTCATTAGTTGGGATTGATACATAATTTAGCCTGTTACAGTATATTTACAACTTGATACACTGAGAACAATATGTGACAAATTTTTTGTATCACTTAATGAAAAGATTGAGAACAACTCAACATTATATTTTTGTATCATGTATATGATATGTTGGGATTGATACATAATACAATACATTATCTTGTATTTATATCTTGATACATTGAGAACAACTTGACAATGTTAGGGTTTTATGTATCAAAAAATAAATTGAATAATTATACATTGTAATATAATAACATTAATTTTTCAGTTATGTATCATATATTTAAATAGACAACTAAATGGAAGATTGAACAACAAATAAAACACAGAAATAGATCGAAACTCATTACCTTGGGTAGACTAGGCCGAGAAATTGGAGATGATACTTTTCTACCCCTTTTTTTAGGGGTTTTTTCAACCTTCGCTTTTGAAGAAGAAGGCATGTCCTTCTTCACATTCTCAATACTCACATTGGCCATTACTAGAGGATCAGACAATTTTTTCGATCTATTTTCAACCCAACCGACGTCTTCATTGTCCTAAACACGATTAGTGTTAGATGACATTATTTGGGTAATCCCTATACTTAATGAAGGAGCATCATCCATAATGTATCAAAATTTTAATGAAGAAAAAAGAAGTATGAACTATGAGTAAAAAAAAGGAAATTAAAACAATACCTAAAATGATGAAATCGTTTGACTAGAGTGAGAAACATCTTGAAATTCAAAATTGAAATGATAAGATTATTGGAGAAAAAATAGGGAGTGATTGAAGGAGTGAAAAAAGGGGAGATAAACATGGATTAGGAGATGGGGAGTTATGTATCCGGAAGCTAGGTTTAAGGGAGTAAAAAAAGAGATTTTAGTAATATTTTGAAAAGGAAGGGAATAATAGAAAGTATGTTAAATAATATTGTGTATATAAATAATCTTTCTGAAAGAACTAATTTTACAGATTACATTTCCAGCAAGATGAAATGATACAACTGGTGCAAACTTCTTGCATAATGTTAACAACCTTGGAATTGTAGACAGCTACCTCAGCAGTTCCATTTTGCATTGTGTCCCTTGTAAAAGAAAAGGAATCAGCATGACCACCTTGATTGAACCTCAACGGATCATGAACAACTACAGGATTTGCATTAATTGACAATTGAAACAAAATAATAACAAAAAACTGCGATCAAATTTTCTTATCAAGGAAAATCTGTCAAAGAAATCAGTAGCTTGCAGAGTTTCCTTTCACACCAAGTGGTGAAGTAACTATTAAGCGTAAATCGTAGCAAACCTTCATATATATTTTATTCTTTTTCCATTTAAAATTGAAGACCACTGGAGTTAGCTTCTAGATAAAGGTCGATATGCAGATTAGTACATATGCTATAGAAAAAGAAGAATCTAATCCGAGGCTGTAGATATCAAAATTCCATATTTTTAAGAATTCAGACCACTTGACCAGACGTTAGGCAACTGAAAAGAAACTCATTTTAGTTTGCTGACTAGTTTATATATTTGATGTCGAGCATATATTAGTTAAAAGTCTTGAAAGCTAGCTAGGTCCTGTTGTAGATGTGAAATTTTAACAGAGTAAGGGGGTCTAAAAGACGCATCATTTTAGAAAATGGCTACTCATCATTGCGGTTGCAACTGTTTCAAACGGTACAGAAAAAAAAAAAAAAGAAGAAAATAGTGCCAGGACCCTGAGGTTTTACGGAATAATCTTTCAAGCGACTTTACAGTCAACTTCATTCTAACAGACCAACATTCGACCAGCAAGTCCTGACTTAAAACATCCACAACAACAACTCAACTAAAGACAACCCCTGCAATAATAATACTAATTTGTCTAGACCAAGTCCAACCAGTATAATTGAAAAATTAAAAGAATTAATAAGAAGGAAGTAGCCGAGGTATGTAGGAACAAAAAGTAATCTGAAAGATCCAATTAAAGAGCCCTCGAGTATAAATTGACCATAACTTTTAGTGCAAAACCTTCAAATTCCAAGTCAATCTTATGCTGGCACTATCCAGAAAACATAAATAGCTTAATAGGATATATATATACGATGACCTTCACATCCTCAGATCCCATGACTAGAAGAAACAGGAACGTACAATTGTCCCCCCGAATGCATTTAGCTTTGTATCTGATTCAGTTTTTCTTCCTTATCGTCATAGATATATCTTGCTCTTTTCCTACGTAATTCATATAGGTGATGCCACCTAGCTTGGAATTGAATGTAGTTATAATATTTTACACTAATCCTACTTTCTGAATAATAAATTTTGTTTCAATTTTTATTAAAAATTAAAGTCTGAAATTACATAGGAAATTGGATTTCCTCCACCATTCTTTCTAGGAAGAATGAGATAGCTAGCATCTTCATCAAAAATATGGTTGTGGAAACACTCAAACACAAATTTATGTGATTTACCAAAATCAATCATTGCTATTAAAAATCTGGAAAAAAAAAAAACACTACTGGAGCCATGAATTTTCTTAATTATACTACATTTATGTAATGCCTTAAGAAAGGCACTAAAAACACTCAAATTCAAAGGAGAAATATCTCAGATTACATGCATAACATCATTTCCTGTGTCTATTAGTATAATTAAGTGTTTCTCCTAGTTTTTAAGCTTGAGCGTGAGTTTCTATGACAGAAATAGTAGTTAAAAAGACATTTCACTCAACGAGCATGAGATGAACAGTAGCAAAATGAAAAAGAGAAGCAATAGAACCTTCACTCTGTCGTCGTTGTTCGCTGTTGGTCGCCGGCGGTGGACAGGGGTCGATAGATTCTAATCACGCGTTGCCTGACATCAAAATGAATTATAGGGCTTTGCTGAATAAATGTCCTTTTATATGTGTAGTTAAACAATAAATAATATTAAATATTGTGTCAAAAAAATTACTTCATCTATCCAATAACAAAGTTGTCCACTATTTGACATGCACTTTAATAAATAATATCCTTTCTATCCCCGTTAGTAACTTTGCCCACTTTTTAAGAAATTATAAATAGAAGAGTGATTTTACAATATCACCTTTCAATATAATAAATACAATATTTTGAAAAATGTAATAGACAAATGATTATAATTAATGATAAGGGTAAATTAGGAACAAAGTGCAGAATTATCTATACATTTCATAAAGTAGACTAGTATAGTTGGACCTCTCAAAATAGTAGAATGGACAACTATTATTGAACGGAGAGAATATATAATATGGGTATCACAATATTACCCATTGAATATATTAAGGATTTTTTTGGAAAGTCACGCGTTAATTGAAATTGGTGTAGGGTAGTAATTACACTGCCTAATAATTACACTACCTACTAATTACACTAACCTATTTATTTGTCATAGTGTAATTACAGTGTAATTGTAATTGTATAGTTTGGTTGCACAATTATAATTATAAGATTATATTAATTTTTAAAAAAAATAAAAGTTAATCATTTAAAATTTACATTAGACAAATAAGAAACTTTATAAATGATACTAAATTAAATATTTAAGATACATATTATCTTTTTAAAATCTATTAATCAATAAACATATAATCCTACCTAATATTATGAAGAAAATAATTGATTTATATTTTTTAAATTAGTCTATTTCCATTGAATTAATTATAAAAACTAAAAATACAAGATTTTTGTGAACATCATGAAATGGATGTTTGACAAAAAAAATATTATAAATAAAATCTCATTTAGCATTTCATGATGTATCATTTTATTACAAACATGCATTTTACAATAAGGATATGGCGTGAAATATTACAAACATGCATTTCATGTCGTATCATTTTATGATGCATTTATTTCTTTTGCAAAAATAATATCACAATAAGGATTCAAACCTGTTTGTTATTAGAATTAGAAATCACCTTATTCATTAGGCTATGTTTACTACATGATGTTTATGTACTTTACTATATTACATAATGTGCATGTGTTAATGTAACACCTCGGACTTCGAAAGAGCTAAATAGAGGTCCGTATAAGTCATCCATCAATTTTTAGTTTTGGGTCAACTTCAAACGACCATATCTTTTATCACATGAAGAATTAGATAGCCCATGAGCTATAAAATTGAAGGTCTTTGAGTCCTCTTTCCAACGCCTCCAAGTTTGTTTAATTTCGAGCTCGGAGTAAAAGGTTATGCCCATTTGAGTGAAGCCTCTCTACAATTCATCAATTTTGGAAAAATGGTATTTTGGTCTTTTCCTTTTCCCACTAGGCCTAACCACGTTTTGTTCACCCCAAATAAGGGTCTAATAGGATTTAGACCACTTTTTCACGTTCGTACACACCTAGGGATTTAGAGCGAGGTTTCAAGAAGAGAAAAAGGGCTAAGTTCAAGCGTTCTTCAAGACTTGTGGATTTCACCAAGAACATCGTTCTTTTCAGGTATGTAAGGCTTCCCACAGTGATGGACTTGTTCATCCTCACGCCATACATCTAAGTTATTGTAACACTCCAGAAAAACTAATGAACTAAGCTAGAGCCTAATATGTAGTCTAGTAGCCTAAATGGGATTTAACGTAAAGATAAGAGTCTTAAAATAACCTCCCCTACTTAGTACTTATGTTTTAGGACTTAAACGTCAAGGCATGACCCTCCCCCCCCCCAAGGACCAACCAAGAGTCCTTGAGGAGGGGCTTGAAGGCAGCCAAAAAGCTGTCAAGACAACTGTCACCCACGAATAAATGGGTACCCACAAGTCGTGGGTGGACCCACGCCCCGTAGGTGGGTTCTTAGGTCAAAATTGGACTTCCCCTGGACTTCCCAAAGTCTCTGTCTGAGCTACGACTTAGCAGCATAGTCCGTAGACCCACTCACGCCCCGTAGGTGGGGTCTTGTGAGTGGGGGTGTTCAGTTGGAAAAAAAGAGGGGTTGCAGACCCAACCCACGGTGACCAGTATGGTCCGTGCATCCATCCACGCCTCGTGGGTGGGGGTCGTGGATGGGGGCATGTAGTGCTCCCTTAATCTCGACCAAGGCTAAGTCAAAGTCATTAATTCCAAAAGTTATTATTTTAGTGTAGGGTCGTTTTAATTCATTTTAATATACATATATAAGTGCTTTTTAACTATTAACCAACTCTTTTTCACCTCATAACTCTCAAGACTCAAACTAAAAACCAACTCCCCTCTCTAATATTTCTCTCACTAGAAACTACCATTGAAGAAGAAGAAGAAGAACTAGAAGACAAAGGCTCAAGAACTCATCTTTCCTCTCCAATTTCGTGAAGTATCTCCAATCAAGGTATGGTAGTCTTGATTTATGGATAGTTTCCTTCCATAAAGCCCTTCAAAACTCTATTTCTCAAAGTTGAAATTCTCCAAAACCTAGGGTTTTCAATCTATGGCATGGATTCACTTTCAAAATGATTTGAATGTGTTTATTGTCTTATATTATGATCAATTTGAAGAATTACTACTATTTTTATGATGAATTACCTATGAATCCATGAATTCCCCTATTTTGTCAAATTGGATCTCAAAGTGTGGGTGATAATTGATGTGGGTGGATTGTGATCAAATTATGCATATAGTAGTTAATCTAATTGAAATATGTGAATATCCATGTATAGAATAGTGATGCAAGATGTGAATCATGAATTGTGATCTAGGGTTCTTGAAGGGCTGTGAATAAAGAACATATACATGACTATGAGAATTATGCATGTGCTTTGTGAATAAATTGAAAAGCAAGGTTTCTATGTTTATGAAGCAATTATGATATTATGTGCATGTTTTATGCATACTTTGTGAGTGAAGTGTCTATGATGATAATGTTGTTGTTGTGTCATTGAAAGGACAATCGCACACACCCCATTCATGAACAATGACTATGATTTGACTAAGGTGTTGATTGAGTTGTTGAATCATGATATTCCCCTTATCTAATGTAAAAATTCTACATGTTTGGGTTGAGTTTGATTCCTAGTCCTTGTAGGGCAAATTATGAGGGTTTGTACATGTTGATGAAAATTGTGTATGAGCTTGTGATTCACTTAGAAAGTGAAGATCCTATGACTATTGTGTAATTGTGGTATTGTTTAAAGATCATTCTCCCCATACCCTTACACATGACTATGCATGAAATGTTTATTAATATGATAATATTGTTGTGTTGATTGAAAGGTTATAATCATGAACACACTATGAACATGATGTGAAATGTTTACTCACATATTAATGATTCTAAGGTTGAAAGGTCATTCTCACCTATTGAATCTATGAGTTATGTCATGATATCATGTTGGATGGTTGTTAGTGCATTCTTTCATAAACATGAACTTAATGGGAATTATGCCTAGCACCGAGAGGATATGAATATAAGATGGAAGCTTTTACGCCAGTTAGTCTGCCTTCCCAAATGAAATCTTTTACGTCAGTTATTCTGGCTTTCCAAATAGGTTCCTTCTACGTCAGTTAGTTTGGGTTCCCAAAATGATTATCGCATGAGATAGAAACTGTCACGACCCGAGAGCACCCCCAAGTCGTAACATGCGTATTCGACCTCTCGGAGGTCTCATACAAGCCCTTAGCATTCATCACATTAGATATGTAAAATAGTGCGGAATTAAAAACTCTTTAAATAAAATCCCATAATACTCAAAGGTCACTTTTAAAAACATCATTCAAAAGTACACAAACGGAATACTAAGTCTCTTAGCCATCTTAGACATAAACGTGAAAACATACTAGAGACACGGCCCTTTACAATCAAAAGAAGTCTATTAAGTCTATTACAAGAACCTTATCATAAAACTAGAATAGAAAAGTCTTGCCCTCGACATATGAGGACATACCACAAAATCTAGGAAGAACTTCAAATCCCAAGTTACTACAAAACCCGCTCACTTGCCGGAACCTACACTTGTAGAAAATAGAGAAATATGGAATTAGCACAATTAAGTACTAAGTATGATGACCATGCAAAAACATGCTAAAAAGGACATTTATTTGAAAAATGTGCTTTCATGCCATTTTTTATAAAACCTTCATATCACAATTATAAGAGACACATTTCAAGTCATCATCCACATATAAGACAATACCCACATAATAGACATATTCAACTAGTACCAATGTACAATACATGAATATAATTGACAAGTAAGCCTTTTCATCATTTCATGACCTCTATCTCAAGTTACCCAAAGCCACACTTAAGTGAAACATGAAGTGACCGCCCATACAATCTCTTTATATACACCTAAGTGTTCCTAAGGGTTACCATAGATAAGGAATGTACCATTACAATATAACATGCTAAGTCAAAATTCTTTAATGAACCACTTTAGGAGACATTTAAGCACATAAGGGGACTTTCAAATAATAGTCGTTAGACTTAGGGAACTCACTTTAGTATCTTCAAAGCCTACTCGTGCCATGTGTAGATAGCATCCCATACTACTACCTACACGTTGTAGAACCTATCCAATAACTAGAGTGCACATCCCACATGATGGGAATAGGCATAACCGACATAGACCATACTAGCTAGGTATGGAATCCGGAGTCTATCCTACTCCGTGGAGGTTGTTCTACTTGCCAAAGGTAGAACTAATAAGCAACCCATGTAGGCACATGGTTTAGGAGATGTCCAAGGAAGTTCATTGTGCCTAATATCATACTCAACTAGGCCACCTTCCTAACCACATCCACTCGGTGCTAGCCTTGTTTTCCATAGAGTATTCAATCACATATGTACTTAGAGAGGGTTCCTTTTCTAGTTCAACCAACTCATAGTACCTCTTCCCAAGAAAGGCCCCATTTCTTAGTCATGGCCAATCAAGGTTCATAAGGATAGCTCATTTGACTTTCTTAGATAAGGATTTTCATGCCGTTCCGGCTCCATCCATCTCTAAGTCTATCATCTCACTCAAGAAGGGAACTTCGCCCTAAGGCCCATCCTTCAAGGTTATACATTTACTTAAGAAAGCTAGACTTATGAAAGGGCATCATTTCTTAGTTTTGCCGATTCAAGTCTTGGCCTAGAATTCCTCTTTTAGCATTTATAGAAAGGTCACCATTTCTTAGTTCTAGCCCACTTCACACATTCATGCATTCAAGACTTTAAGTAACAAGGAGGGACACTTTAGTCTACCAACCAAGTCACAACATTATCATCTAAGGATACTTCATAATCCAACATCATTTCATATATATACATCATGAGAAAATCATACTTTAAATCACAATGCTATCCACTTTACATAGGATCATCACAAGATCACGTAAACTCATTCACATCATACTTTCACACATAAAGCTTCACATAAAACTTTACATATAGCTTCATAGTGGACTTTACATATAGCCTCATTTATATATATAATATACAATACAATAACACTTTGTACAAAATCACCTTATAACCATAAGAATACCTTCACATAGTACAATAACATTTCATAACTTGATAACACTTTAATTCAATAGATAATGCATTCAAGTCCATGTTCATAATACATTCCATAATTAAACACCTCCACCATAAGTGGATCAAACTAAGCAAGAACAATTTTATCCATAATAAGAGATTAAGCCAACTTACCATCCTCCAAAGCCATAATCAACAACACTCAAGTCCCAACCATTTTACTTACCACAAGAGAATTCATCATAACTTGCCCATAAGGCCACAACTTTCAATTTATCCATACATCATCAATTCATCATAGATAGATGTAGAAAATCATAAGAGTCACTAATACAATCCAATCCAAACACAATCTCATAAACTTTGAATCATAAGCAAAAGACCCACTTCATAAGCAAATTTAGGAATTTAGGGAAAACATGGATTCTTCAAGGAATTCCATATGAAATCATCTTAAAAACATTAATCAAACATTAATTCATCAATATAATGGCTTAGAAAACGTTTTGCCAATGAATCCATGCTTAGATTAGAATTTGAGATTTTGTTCTTTGAAACACTTTTGATTGGACTCCTTGAAAGAAAGATTGATCAAGGATCAAGGGTCACCATACCTCTAAGTTGAAACCCACGAAAAATTGAAGAAGAAAGCACTCAAAACCTTCAACCCTAGCTCCAACTTCACCTTGGCCTTCAATGGTGTTCCAAAGAGAACCCTTCCTTACTCTTTTAAAATGGAACAAAATGATCCACAATCAGCCTAACACAATAATATAACCTCAAAAGAAAAGATTTGTGAAAAGACCAAAATGCCCTTAAATTTCCGGACGGACTCCTTGCCAACTGCCCAACTTTCAAAGGGCATAACTCACTCATATGAACTCGGAATCGAGCAAACTCGGTGGCGTTGGAAAGATCGTTTCAAGGGCTTTCCAAACATAACTGGAACTACTCCTGGATCATCCTGAACTAGGAGTTATGACTGCTCAAAGTTGGCCAAAAACTCACTGATTTCCACACTTGGCAGAATTTCCAGATTTTGAACTTAGCCAATTTCCAGATTCTGAACTATTTTTTTTTTCAAAAGTGACTACTTCCAATTTATGCTTAAACTTTAAAAATTCATACGTTAGGCTCTAGTTTCACCTATCTATTTTTAGGGTCGCTACAGAAACCTTATACCTCAGTTAGTCCGGGTTTCTAGTAGCAATCACCCTATCTCATAACTATGTGCCCACATAGGTCTTTAGCTAGTGGATCCACCTAAGCTAACAAATTAGTTATACCTTAGGCAAGTAGGACACCTCTTTTTGATGTGAGGGAAAGACACTAAATTCCATGTAACTCACATGGTCTATGTCGGTTAAGGATATTTTCCTACATGAACAAGAACATGAGTTATGTACTATGGTTCCTCAAGAGGTTCTACTTAGTATGAATGGGGGTATGAGAATTCATTCATGCATTGCACAAGTAGGCTTTGAGAGTGGTCGTGGTATGTTTCTCTTATGACATGATGAATTATGAGTTAATGCATACTTTATATGAATTATGCACATGAACATGGACTATACTTATGACTTTCTCAATGAGCTCTACTTAGTGTGAGTGGGGATATGGGACTTCACTTATGCATTGCACAAGTAGACCATGTATGGGGTTATGGTGTGGTTTCCTAATGCTATGAAGATATATGAATTTATGCATGTATGATATGGATTGTTGCTAAGAATAACTTTACTTGTTATAAGCTATGAACATGAATGTCCCTTTGTCTATGAGTGTTGGCTATGGATAAGGTCAAAGTAGGTTATGCATGATTATGATGACCTAAAAATGATACTTAATGTAGATAAGATTATGGGATCTTATCTATGCATTGCACAAGTATAACCTAGGGTTACATATGTGATGGTTCTATTATGATGAGATGATCTTGGTATTTAACTATGTGTGTGAACTATGTCTTGTGATGATTGGGGTATGCATTATGTTTATGTTAAAGATTATGCTTGTGATTATGATGATATCATTTATGCTATGATGAATTGTACATGAGTTGTTTTATGAGCTACATTCCTCAACTATTTCAAGATGATGTTCAAAATTGGCATATAGCATGGTTTCAACTAAAATGTCTCTTTTAGCATGTTTTAAGGATTTTTATGCATGGCTTCCATACTCAATACATTTTTGTGTTAACCCATATTTCTACATTTTCTATAAGTGTAGGGTTTGGTGATATCAGCTTCCACCCTCGTGGCTAGGACCATAGTACATAAAAAAGAAGAAGATTGGTGAGTCATCATAGTATTCGAGGGCTTCACCATTATGTCCCTTAGGTCTTCCTTTAATGTTTTAGACTTTTGTAAGGGGTGTGTCCTTAAGATTATATTCAAGTGTTATAGATGGTTTGAGACATGGTATTATAGTCTCCCTCTTGTTTTATAAAAGACTCCGATTGTAAAGAAAAGTTCTAAATTTCCGCCCTTTTTTTCCTATGCTCTTATTTTATGATATGCTATGAGACTTGTACGCCGTGTCACATCTAGGGGTAGCCTTGGGTTGTAACAAACATGGTATCAGAGCACAAGATTTTGGGATGGTTTTAGGATGTCTCAAACCACGTCTAGTAGAGTCTTGTTCATAAATATGAAGCGCGCCACATTTATGAATAGGAGGCTATCAGATGTTAGGAAAACTTTACTTCTTCATTCTCTAAGTCGTGCCATAGAGTTTAACTTTATTAGGTCTTTCTCTTAATGTGTGCCCTATGGTTTTCAAAATATTACTACTTCAAGGGCTTACGTTGAAAGGAATATGGAAGACAATAAGTAGCAAGAGGTTCCTCTCCAAGCTCCTCCCCAAGCTCTAATTGTCCCCATAGGGGAGTATGTGTCTAATGAGAAGATTAGGTATGGTTTTCAATTGTTGGCTCAAGTCGGGAAAGAAATTTTGGAATTCTATGGGTCAAAGATGAAGGAAGATCCTCAAGAGTTTATAGATAAGGTCTCTAGGGTGTTGAACTTTGTGGGAGTGACTCCGGTAAAGAAGGCAGAATTGGCCGCTTACCAATTGAAGGATGTTGCTCAAATGTGATTTAGTCAATGGAAAGAGGCGAGGCCAGTAGAAGCAGGCCCCATGGAATGGGAAAGATTTAAAAATGGGTTCTTTGATAGGTTTTTCCCTTTAGAGATGAGAGAGGCTAAGATACTTGAGTTTATTAACCTTCGTCAAGGTAGGATAAGTGTTGAGGAGTATGCTCGGGTGTTCAATAAATTGTCGAGCTATATGCCTCATCCATAGTGGCTGACCCTAGAATGAAGATGAGTAAGTTTGTGTTGGGTGTATCCTACTTGATAGCAAAAGAATGTAGTATGGATATGCTTGAGAATGATATGAATATTGATTGTGTTGTGATTCATGCTCAACGGTTTGAAAGGGAGAAACTTGAAGAGAGGTCTAGAGTAACAAAGAGGTATAGAGTTGATAATGACAATTCCTCTCAAGAAATATTTTATGGTCGATCAAAGCTCTTCCAAGGTTCCCCCAAAGTTTGACCAAAAAAGGGCGTCTACCCGAAAATCTCAAAGAGTAAGTGGTAGTGGATCTTATGTGATTAGGCTTACTTGTGCTAGGTGTAGAAAAAGGCATGATGGTAAGTATCTAGCCGACACGAAGGGTTGCTATGGTTATGGTGGAAGCAACCACAAAGTGAGATATTGCCTAGTACTTACCACTTGGGGAAGAGAGAGGAAGAAAATTAGGTCTGATGTTCTTCAAGCTAGAGGTGAACAAGAGTGTCCTCCTAATGTTGCTCCCGGTATGTG